GTGCGGTGTGTGTCGTTTGTCTCCATATTATGCCAAACAGGCGTCATGTACAAATTCTGGAACGACACCCCTTCAGGGAATTTTTCGCATAATGTAAAACACTTTATATTCAGTCAAAATAGAGCACTATACTGTTTTTCTTACCAGCTCTGCGAAAAAGCACAAGCAGCCGTTCCGAGAATGGAGTGGATGATGGAGAAGACGACAGAAGGAGAGTTGAAGTAAATAATGATGATGATGGCGAGGACGATCGCATAGGCGAGGGCGAGGACGACGAAGACGACGGGGATGAGAATGAGGATGAGATAGAGGAAGAGGATGAGTATGGGGATGAGTATGGTGGTGGTGATGGTGATGGTGRTGGTGATGAGTATGGTGGTGGTGATGGTGATGGTGATGGTGGTGGTGRTGGTGATGAGGATGAGGATGAGGCTGAGGATGGGGATGGGGATGGCGATGAGGATGGGGAGGATGATGAGGATGATGAGGAAGATAAAGATGAAAACAAGAAATCCAAGGAAGGTTAGTAACTTCATTTAAATTAATGAACACGGACAAAGTTTTGATTATGGGGAGGGGGTATTCACACGAACAAGCTAAACAAAAACTATGATTTTTTAGATAATTACTATYTTTATTTATCAAAGATGGATGTTCAGATCAGCGATCAAGACACGGAGTGCATGGGAAGAGAAGAGGTGAGCTAATAAAATGCGGTAACRAAAAATTACATTTTACTGAGGTGTGATGATATTGATTTGCGTTGAGATCACTAAATATTTACATAAAATGCCTTTTCTACTAATGGACTAGCTATTCCATTTTCAAATGATTTTCTTATTTGTACGCGATATGATTTGAGAAATAATTAATAGCTAAATTTTGAAACTGTTTAGTTCCTTTACAAAAATTTACCACTTTTTTATTTTTTACGGGTTTTACTCAAAATCGTTAGCTGAAATTACCTTTTTTTTTCAATTCTAAATACCTGTTCAAAACCGTCACCCCATCATTAGGTACAATCTTGTTATTCTACGATTAATTTGGAATAAAGTTTGTGGAAAAAATACAAGTTTGAAATTTTTGCGATTTAACTTGACCACACTTGAGTTTGATTTTCTCAATTATGGGCTACCACTAGGGAGCTTTCACGAATAGCCCATCAGTAGCCCACGAGTAGCCAATCAGAATGCAGGATTCGTGATAGCCTACAGTTTTGTGGAAACTAATTTTAGTTAGAAAAAACTGATGGTCTATCACTACTCGAGCGTTTTGATTGGCTGAGCTACTAAGGGGCTATTAGTGATAGACCTCTATTTGCGAAAAACGCCAGATTTAACAACCAAAAATAAATTATTTCACGCAAACTTCAGCAATTTTTCATCCTTTATTGGACCGATTACTAGGTCTTTACTAAAATTAGACATCCCGCCCTCATGGTCTATTAGTGAATAGCGCATTCGGCCTTCGGCCCCATGGGCTATTGACTCGTACACCATTCGAACTCGAGGACTAATTTTTAAATAGTCGACGTTAACAACAGTACACGTTGTAAAGAGAAATGAATTATGGGGTCACTATTTTTTACATTTTTCGAGCATTGTGAAGGTTTACGATGTAAGAACTTTCTTTTTGATTATATTAAAATTCGGCCATGAATTCGACTAGCGTTCACAGTTAATTTAAAGAAGGAATAACTTGTTTTATGGGCTCTTTTGAGACAAAMGTGGCAAATGCTTATCAAAATATGATGTTGGRTCCTCAATTCTGATTGGTCGACCTTGAGTTTGATCTGAAGGTCCAACACAGCTGGAATATAATCTCTTGGCGTGAACTACATATAATCAAACTATATTTCTTTTGACAGGAAAAACAGAGGTTGAAAGACTTCAAGACCATCTTAGTTTCTTGTACGAAACTAGAAGAAACCAGCCTCGGAAACGAAGCAAAAGAAATTAAAAGATCCCTATAGTCCATATAACCAGTTATCAAGCGGTTAGGGACTGGTCATAAAGTATAGGGGGAAGGGGGGTTTGCCTGCGAAATCAGATAACTGGAAGACTATTTTTGTGTGACCCACCCCATACGGATGGTGAAAAAATACATGACCCACTCCGATTTTCAAGGGCAAAAAACAAAAAAAMMAMAAAAAAACCCTGTACAATTACAGTTGTCCCATTTCTTTGATGGCCAACCCCTTAAAAGGAGCTCAAAAATACGTGGCCCACCCCCTATACTTTATAACCAGTCCCTTACAGCACTTGAAATGCAATTATATCCATAATCTTTGCTATAGTCTCAGCTTGTCTAGGTTTTTAGTGAAAATTGAAACAAACGAACAAAAAAACCCTTCATTGTGTTTGAAACCCATAATGGTTTTTTTAGGAATTTCCACAGTGTAAGCAATGTTTAAACCCAAGTTAGTTGAAATATAGAGATTGTATAATATATCATTTTAAATAAAACCATGAATGTTATTTTAAACCTCGACTTTCCTTACTTTCTCGAGATTGGATATAGGTATGACAAAATATACTGTCTAGGGGACTGCGCTGGGCAGGCAAAATTTTGCGGATTGCTGGCCAAAATTTATTTTCCAAAGACAAATTTTTTTGAAAATCATTTTTTGGAAGCTACGTATAAAGATACCTGCAGAACAAGCCGAAAACATTCGTTTTTGTAGGTGTGTTTACTTTATTAGTTAAACAAAAGACTGCRCCCCACCTGAAATGCGTCAAGGGTTTTCCAATATATCTTATAGATATCTTAGATGGCAGCATGAAACAATAAAAAATTCAAAGSTTCAAATGTCGCTTTTCTGTTCATAGATACTGAAGGAAAATATGATTAAAATGACAATAATTAACCACCCAATTGTCCTGTTGATGTTTGGCGAAGCAACTGCCGTGTCGAGAGTTTCTGCAGCTACTGTAAACATAATTTGCCGAAATCAACTTCTTGGCGATATCTTATTTAACATCAATGAAGTGCACCTTTTATGAAGTGTTTTCAATTGAAATCAAAGTTATTCTGGTAGTGTAATCAGGCTTTTCTTGTTAAAGGCCACTTTTTCTCGGTTAGGGATTTCAATCACAAAAACCCATCGTTAGCTTAAATCTTCTTCCCCTAAATCCTCTTTAGTGAATTGCCTTTTCCTCCATGAATTATTGTCTCTAACTGAATTCTTTGACATAAACGTTCATTTTATTTTTCCTCCTCCACGAAATTTCGGCGGAATTCACGTTTTCTTTCTCTCCCTGCTTACCGCTTTGCAGTCTGTGAGATTTCCTCCGTCTTCATGCCTTCCTTTCTCACGCCTCTTCGCAAAAACTCTTTTTCTTTAACGTCTAATTTCTTCCGATTCTCCTCTGAGCTAACWCTGTTGAAATCCCAAAATACAAACTTCAAAACTGGGTCCATTTCAAATATCAAATTGTAATTGAATTGTTGTTTATAATTTTGCTGCCTGTTGTAGTTTTCGTTAAAGAACAAAGTTATAATATTTTTGAAACGCCGATTTTATAGTTTCATTAGGAACGTAAGAACAAGATGATGGCGCACAAAGTGGTGAAAAAACAACTCGATAGATTACCATTCTTACTATTGTAATAGATAGTATGGGGTCCGATGGGGCTCCGCTCACGTGGCAGCTACGCTATAAACTGAATTAAATAGATTCAAAAGGATCGAAATAAGTCTTGTAGAGCTGCGCTGATCAAGAACTTATTGAGCTCTCAATCATACGAAAATGTGTGCACTATCGAATACTGATAAACACTCCAATCAGCAATTTACAATATATATGAAACTAGTACCACCTAAAGAACAATAAGACAGTGTTTATTTTATTTTACAGGTACTACAGGTACTATACGGATACTACACCTACTACAGGTACTACAGATACGACAGGTGCTACGGATACTACATCTACTACACCTACTACGGATACTACACCTACTACAGATACTACACCTACTACAGTTACTACACCTACTACGGATCCTACAGGTACTACGGATACTACAGGTACTACAGGTACTACAGGTACTACAGGTACTACACCTACTACCGGTACTACAGGTACTACGGATACTACGGATACTACACCTACTACAGGTACTACAGGTACTACGGATACTACAGGTACTACGTATACTACAGATACTACAGGTACTACAGGTACTACAGGTATTACAGGTACTACAGGTACTACGGATACTACAGGTACTACGGATACTACAGGTACTACAGGTACTACAGGTACTACGGATACTACAGGTACTACGGATACTACAGATACTACAGGTACTACGGATACTACAGGTACTACAGGTACTACAGGTACTACAGGTACTACGGATACTACAGGTACTACAGATACTACAGGTAGTACGGATACTACAGGTAGTACGGATACTACAGGTACTACGGATACTACACCTACTACACCTACTACAGAAACTACAGGTACTACGGGTACTACAGGTACTACGGGTATTACACCAACCACATGTGCTGCACCTACACGGATAACTAAAGCTGACACCGAACATTGCAACACTACCATAGCACACAACCCCAAGATAGTGCCATTTCGTGTGGTCATACATGAAGTAACAACCTATTTTAGTGGTCATTTTAGTGCACTTTTTAACCTTGCTGGGTTACCTGTGGTGGTGCCAGCAATGCATTGTGGGATACAGTAAAAGTACATAACAAAAGCCAGTATCCCAAAGGAGATGGAACGAATAATGTCGGCAGGGAAAGTAGATGATCTATCCTTTCGCCCTCAAAATCCTCCTCTATTATCGACAGACTATGGGTTTTAAGCACGATACCTTACTACAAAAGCATCTCTGTAGGTATATGTGGCTTTTGTTGGTGTATTAAAGTAGAAAGAGCTACACGATGTCCAGAAAGGGGAAGAAAATATCAAAGCATGGCGGACAAAAGAGAAACGACGAGTTGTTCGTGTTTGGATACGCTAGTAAACTGTTCAGAGACGATAAGATAGCAGAATATCATGAAGAAGGCAGACATCTTATTCCTTGGCCAGGAGACGACAGTCTTCTTATAGACAGGTCTGTTGTAAGAAGATTGTTTATTTTACATCATTGAAAATAAAGTTGTGTTGAAATGGTTAATGAAACGATGTACAGTATTTTGTGTAAAAAGAATTCTTTCTAGGGATATTGAGAACTTTCAGCGGTGCATAAATGAACTTTCGTTGTCCAAAGCAACAGATTTCTTCGGCTTTCAACAAAAACGTTCATTGAAAATACCTAAAATCGAAGAGGATTGAACAGGCATATTAGCACATTGTGAGATCCAATGTGCTTTTTCAATATTTGACTGCCTTTTGATATATGGGAAGGTAAGTAACATAGGGATATGGATAGCAAATGAAAGACAAGATGGAGCCGTTGGATGTCTTCACTGTACTTGTGAGTATGAAATATACCTAGATGTGCTGTAACACATTTTTTAAGTTGTTGTGAACTCACTATGGGATATGGTGGGCATTAGCTATGACATAACCAGCTTTTGAAAAGTGAAAACCATCATAGACCATGTGTCGTGAGGCAAAATCATAAGAATTAAAAATGAAATCCTACCCCTTTTTTATGCAAAGACATGACAGTGTTCCTGCCCTATGTATAACATAACTGCCGTCAACCCCACAACAACAAGCTATAAGGTTTTCACTTAACATCGTATCTGTATGTTCAGAGCATTTCAGTCCAGCATGATATTTTAGCATATGGTACACTTTTCTTAAGACTTACTTAAAATCAAATTTGTACCTTTAGACGACAGGTAGCCTTCCTGGATTTCAAAAACTTTGAATTTACAGATACGCAAATTTAATTTTACCACAAGGGCTTAGCTTATTTACACCCTTGTAAATACAAAAAGTTAAAGTACTCTTTGTTAACATTTTGTTTTCAATTTCTTGATTCCCAATCTAGGTATGACTGTCGTCTTCTCTTCACGGAGAAATCCCAGTTTGAATCCAAGGCTGAAAGTCTCTCCCATAGTCTTTCATTGGAAGAACAGGAAATTAAAAGGCTGTGTGATGAAGAGAGGTACTTGGAACTGCACACTAACTTGGAAGAACAAGAAATAGAACACGGTTGGTGAAAGACATTGGACAATAATTTTTAGCATGTGTGTCAGAAAGTGTATGTGTTGTGAAAATTTCTATAAATTTGCATTAAATTTTTTTATATTTGAATAATGTAATTGTTTTTCCCCCAGAGGAGGAAATGAAGAGATTCAAGGAAGCTCTTTCACAAGATGGTGCCTATTCATCAGTAGGATTTAGTTATGATAACAGTGAACAGGAGAATACTGCAGAAAATATGCCTCCATCAGCAAGTGGCACTCATCCGCCCCAAGGTACATACTATATGGGTATCAAATATCAAAATAATATAAGACGTTTCGAAGTTCATAAACTTGCAGTTTTTTTAATGTTGTGTAACAGTGACCCGATATTCTGTTGCCCTGAGTTGCAAGTCCCAAAGGATTGAATATTGGAAAAAAAAAAGTTATATATTAGGAATATGGATGATTCTTTTCTCAGACAGACCCAGTGAGAATAATATCATTGATAGTGTAGAAAAGATTTCTTGGTTACTGATTATTGTGTACATTTGTACATTCTTTTAGAGCCAACACCCAGTCAAGTAGTAGAAAAATTTGTAGCTCCAGAAGAGTTAGAAGTTCCTGATGGCATGGAAATTGTAAGTAGCATGTTACAGCATTTTTTCAACCCATACCGCATTCTGAAAAGAACGTCTTTGAATGTAGCTGCATCCACAGTAGACCTCCTTGACTCGGGCGTAATCTTTTCTGATTACAGACTACATGTCATTCCCTTGAGAATAAGATTCTTTGTTTGAGTTGTATCCATATTCATGTGTCTTCTCATGTGCAACCGTTAAACAAAGAAATGATACTCTAGGGAATGAAACATGTCTGAAATGGGAAAACAGTGGATTAGGTCTATTGGCGGTTTGCGAGCATTCCCAAGAGAGTCAAAAGACAAAAACATGGTGGCCATTGTGGTGCCGTTAACAATGGATGCTAATGAGAAATCTTTTTGAGTATTTTGTATCAATGAAACCATTTTAGTATACTTTCATTAAAACCTTCATTGAGCTGTTGAAGATGTGTGGAAAACGTCATTTCATTTCAGCCTGATACAGCCAAGATGAATGCCATTATTGAGAAAACAGCCGTGTTTGTCAGTGGACATGGCACACAGATGGAGATCCTAGTAAAAGCAAAGCAAGCAGGAAATCCTCAATTTGATTTTCTTAACTTTGATAACTGGTTGAATCCTTACTATAAACACATGTTGAAGTACATCAAGGAAGGAAAGTATGAACCAGTAACTCAACCAGCATCGCCAGAACAGCAACAAGAACCTGGTAAGCCTATTTGATGTCCCACTTCTTGATTAAGAATGGGGCAAATGGCCTGGGTGATGCTAGAAGGATGGGGCAAAGATGAACCAGTTATATGCTGTTTGCATTTCTCTTAATGATAGGCCTTGAGGGTTTGGAAATACATTGTCAGAAAAACCCATGTGATTTTAAAGTATATTTCAACATGCTGCCAAGGGTGTTATAATTATTTTACATCATGAATGAATAAATAAAGGGGGATGAGATAATTTATGTACTTGATACATTGGCATCAAAAGCATGATGTGAGGTCATTGCTTGCATATCAAAAAACTAATTCTAGGTTGCAAATTCAATTTTTTTGTGTGTGTCATTTAGAACCAGAAAGTGAAGAGGAAGATTCAGATGGTGAATTTGAGCTCCACCCCTCGTTGACAGCATCCCATCGCAGTGCATCTTGCACTCCAAACTCCTCTGCTCCCTCATCTCCAGCACCCACTACCAACATAGGAGACCAGTACAACTATCCATCAAGTGCAGAGGCCAGTGTGGTGTCATATCCTCTAGATGCCGCAAGTAGTGGGAGTATACAACAGTATTATTCAACAGTATGGACCCAACATAATCAAGTTGCGGGCGGGTATCATTATGGTATGTTATTAAAACCAAATTCAAAATTTTGATCGCTTTTTTCCCATTGTCAATAAGAGTAAAGTTGATGATATGTGGACTTTGATTTTATTGTTCAACAGCAGCAAGTGGAAGTTCTACACATCTTGTAGCATCAGCGCCAATTATGACAGCAGCAGATATGCTACCTCCTCCACCCCCTCCCCCTGGGGAAGGACCACTAGAAGGTAATCAAATGAACACAACATTTTGTTATCAACCATTTTAAAAACCTTCAAATTTTATCGCTACCTAAAATGACCTCTGGGTTGATTAATTCAAGGCATGGCTAACTCATAG